CAAGCATATGACGTTACATGGAGATTTTAACCTAAATTTACTGAAGCACAGTAGTAACCAGGCTTGTCAAAGTATTATAGATATTGCATCCTCTTACGGTTTCATCCAAATTGTATCACGTCCAACTCGCATAACAGACCACAGTGCCACGCTTATTGATCATATCTACACGAACAATCTTGAAGATACAATAAGCTGCAACGTATTAACGACAGATCTGTCGGATCACTTAGCGATAGTTACTACAATTAATCTTGATAATACATCCACCAGCAGTTACCGCTCCGCATCTTATAATCAAAATCCAACTCAAACCAACGTACGTAGTTTTAATGAGGCCAACAACCATAAATTTAGAGATTTAATAATGGAAGAAAATTGGTCTGTAATACTAACAAATACCCATGATGCTAACCAGCAGTTTGATTGTTTAAATTCGGCTTACAACAGGATTTATAACGCTGCCTACCCGACAAAAAGACAGTCCGAGCGCAGACAAAATGAACGTGTAAATCCCAAACCATGGATACTGCCCTGGCTTGAAGAAGCTATAGAACGTAAAAATCAGGCATATCATGATTTTGTTAAGGAACCAGTTGATAGGAACCAGCTAAAATACGACCGTTTGAAAAAGTTTTGCACCAAACACGTTGACAAAGCCAAAAACATACACTACAAAAAATTCTTTGAACAACACAAAGATAATTCTAAGAAGCAGTGGCAGATGATTAACGGTCTTCTAAATAGGAAACCAGCTAAACCTACATCGATAAAACTGTCGGACGAAAACGGACAAGTCAGCACTCCGGCAGCAGTAGCAGAAAAATTTAATGATCACTTCTCAAACATCGCTCCAAAAATTAAATCTGAAATTAGTAGTAGGACCACTTTCGATCCTGGTGGGGCCCAGGGGACACTTCGCAACCCTTCTCCAAATAGTATCTACATAAAACCAGTCACAACTACCGAAGTTCAAGACGTTATTAACCTATTTAAGAATAAAGCTACTCTTGACACCAAAATCCAACCACTCAAAATTGCCAACAGCTGTCATAATTTTACCACAGTATTGGCCCACGTTGTTAACAGCTCGTTCGAACAAGGGGTCTTTCCCCAAGCCTTGAAAACGGCAAAAGTAGTTCCTGTACATAAAGGTGGATCTAAAACTGACATCAAAAATTACAGACCGATATCTCTACTTGCCACTTTCTCAAAAGTCTACGAAAAGCTTATGCACAATCGAGTCATAAATTTTTTGGATACCTACAATATACTTTGTGAAAATCAATACGGCTTCCGCCCAGGCAGGTCTTGTGAACATGCACTTCTTAATGCTAAAGACAGAATTCTCAATTCAATGTCCAAAAAGCAAGTTACTTTGCTCCTTTTGATTGACTTTAGCAAAGCCTTTGACCTTGTGGATCACTCTATACTCCTGAATAAGCTCGAGCACTATGGCATAAGAGGTCTCGCTCTAAACTGGTTTAAATCATATCTTAGGAACAGAAACCAGTTCGTATCTATTGGATCCTCTGAATCCTCAGCCAACCCCATTATTTACGGTGTACCCCAAGGTTCAATTTTGGGACCTCTCCTTTTTATTATCTACATAAACGATCTTCCTCAAATATCAGAAATAGCTAATTTCATCATGTACGCAGATGATGCAAACATTTTCCTAACAGGAGAAAATATAAACGAGGTTTATGATAAGCTCAAAATTCTTAGCGATGTCTTAGTTAAATGGGTAGATAACAACGGTTTAGCTCTAAATCTTAAAAAAACGAATTATATGATCTTTTCTCGGCAAAGAAACCTCATTTATCGCGATGTAGTAATTTCTGGTGTCACAATCGAAAGAAAAACAGAAGCCCGTTTCTTAGGAGTTATAATAGATAACAAACTGAACTGGTCGCAACATATTTCTGCCATGAAAATGAAAATGGCCAGATACATTGGAGTCATGTACAAACTTAAAAAATATTTGCCTCTGGAAGCACGTTTACAAATATATCACAGCTTTGTTCAGTCTCACCTTAATTACTGCTCCCTCGTCTGGGGTTTTGCTGCCAAATCCCATATAGAAACACTATTTGTAAAACAAAAAATGGGTCTTAGAGCAATACTACCAGGTTTTGTTAATTACTGGTACAAAGATGGTACACCACCAGCAAGTACCAAGTCTGGTTTCTATGTACACAAAATATTGACAGTTCATAGTATCATCGTGAAGAACGCATTAGTTTTTATACATAAGCTCAAAAACTTCCCAAGTCTAGTGCCTCCCTCTATAAAGAAAACAATACCTAACAGTGCACCAATATTTAACGTCGCCGATCCGTATTCGAGTTTTACAACTTTATGGTCAGATGAATACGGTAAACACCCTTACAATAATTCAGTATTCTACAAAGGTCCACTATTAGCAATAAACAGATATAGTGTCGCAGCAACTTCCTTACCAAGTCTCTTCAACCTTAACATCTACAAAAGGTGCATAAAAAACATGCTGATTGATCAACAAAACGAGGGCATCACAGACGAATGGCCTAACTTTATGTTACACAATATAACGGGACTAAGGAAATCAGAGCGCAACATCAACCGTAATGCTAATAATAACTCTGTCTCAATACCATAAGCACGCCATCACAGAATCAATTTCACTGCATACCATCTCAGTTACACTGCCATCAATTCGCCAGCAAAAACGGCATGACGCTATGCGACTGATAACAGTCGTAAAATTTTAAAATTTTGGAATAGCTAGCTAGCCGTAGCTATGCACCTGTTTCCACTCTAACAACTCTTATAGCGCATTAATATGATAATTTCAACTAAAGGCAACTTTATATGTGCTCAGCTATGTTTTGTTCGACAAGCTCCATTATATACATTTTAATCTTTTTAATGAGATCTAATCTTGTGCGAGTTTTGAGTTTGAATTGATAACACTTATTATATATATTATTTTTTGAGTAAACATTGGCTGGTACTTCGGGCCGGTCCCCAACAAAAAATCAGTAGGCCAGAATTTCGTGGGTTTAGGCAGCTTAGATTCTTACTTAAAACAAAAATGTACACCGCTATGAAAATGTATACCGTTATAGTAACAACACAAAAGATAAATGCGCAGAATACAAGAGTAGATACAGTGGTCTGCTTCCATCTCTAAACTAGCTCATGATCCTCTGTGAGCTTCAAACCTAATGACTGTTACCGCATAGAGTGCGTTCTGTGAGCTAAAGATTAACGCAATACTACCTGAAGTGAGTGTTGTGGGGTCAACTGGCGGTCACTATAAAGTCGTGGAGGAAAAGTGAAATTGTATGGTATATTAAAGATGTCTGTAATAGATCAAACTTGATATTTTGGAGTGTATGTGAAATAGATCTTGTAAAGAAGGCGGTGGGCTGGGTGTGGGGCTAGTAGGTTTACTTGCTCTCTTACTGTCTACTTCTCGGACAATGAGAAGTTCATCCTGTATAACACTGAGCAATGTGAGATAGTAAAAGTGAAGGGTCGGTACTGAGTACTCATTAACTAGACAAAGCTATAGCTTATGAATATGAGCAACAATAAATTATGGAAGCTTGTTGATAGCATGGCTGATAGCATGGATTGATCTTTCGATACTTTTATAAACAAGACCACAACTGTATCCTGTGCACAGTCTCCACGATAATGGAATATTCTAGAAATATAAAGTTAGAAACAGCTAACAACGGGGAAACCCTGTCTTTAGTCATGATAAGGACGCTTAGTGTAGGAAATTGAACTAACTTTGGTGCTAGTTCTTGAAGTGGCACCTGGTCAGTGCTCTTTGCCATATTATAATGATATACACATTGCAGCGTACCACCCATATGCATACCCCACACATTATGTCAGGCGGCATTGTCAACAATAGCAATAGTAGTAATGGCGTCAGGCACGTCTCGTGTTAACGTATACAATCTGTTAATCCTGCCACAAGTTCTATAGAATCTTCCCCCCCCCCCCCCCCCCCCCCAATTATATGACTCAATGATCCCAGCCATGCCACTGGTTATTAACCCAGCGAGTCTGTCTAACAGCATCAAGTTTAGTGAGATTCTAGTATTGGGGTGACAGTGTCAGCACTGCAGCTACTGTTGACCAGGTAGTTTAAGAGTTATGGGTTAAAACGTTTATGATAAGGTTACCTATTTTGATATAAAGGTAAAAGGCACTTAAGCTGTATGTGCCGGGGATAAAGGCTGGTCATAAAAATGTGTTATGACAAGGCAATGATGTATATATCGTAACAAAGATAGCAATAAATATTTCAGTTTTTTGTCATGACATGGTTTTATCGCAAAATATGATCGCTGGTTTACAGTTTTTAGAATCGTCTCTACCCCCACCTGGTGTCGTGAAATGATGACCACACATACTGTGACATAGGACTAATAGCCGACAAAGTCGACATTCACTCAAAGGTATAGCACGATCATCTTGACTTATGAACTATTATATTTATAATATATAATATATATGTCATGTCACGAAAAATACTGAATAGAATTGTCGCACAAAAAGGGTTCCGCTTGGGCCTTGGCTCCAAAATTTACAAAATATTCTGCCAATCGTTTAACTTCGGACAAATAGTGTGTGGATTGTGGAACGTCTAAATGCTTGTATAGGACAACAAATCTAGGCAACAGCAAAAAAATGAAAAATGAAGGCCGCTAAACAATTTGGCAGACATGCATAGCCATAATGACCAAAAGGATAGCTTTTGGTCATGGTGCGCGATAAATGGTGGCGATGAATTAGAACGTTACGCCACTGTGGTTACGACTGTTCTATCAATTGTCATGGTGGTTGCCCTTCAAAAGGGGATGCACAAAGCCCTCTTCTCCTACTTCATGAATAACTCCGTTTACACGTGGCGCCTGGTCACGGGGTATGCAGACGTCATTTCCTGACATGGAAATAACATCACGTGATCACAGTTCTAAATTATGTTACTATCCCAGGTGGCGGCGCTACAGAGGAGAATGCACAAAGCCCTGGTGTCCTACTACATGCACCGAGGCTACCACAACAGAATCGTACTGACGGACTTTGGCAAGGGTGCTGCTGTTAACTTACACCAGTTGGAGAAGATTCACAGAAACCTTTATGATGTCATAGCCAAAACTGACGTAAGTCAAGTGAAGGTTCTAAACGAAATTTTAAAGTTTATCCTATTATTCTTATTCAATTAAGTTCTTCGCAGCAAACTTTATACTATTAAAATAAACTCCACGGCCATCAATGAAAATAGGCAGAGGTTTTTAGAGCTTCAAGTGGATGCCCTGAAAGTTGTATACCGTCTCACTTAATATTCCCACTAAAATATGTTAACTAACATATCATCAACAAAACGTGTGTTGTGTTGAGGTTTAAAATGAGATTCCTTCAGTCGGCTATTATGATAAAAAGTTAATCAATATGCACACCTTTAAAATCGATATGCTTAAAACTTCATAAAAATAAATGAATTTTAATTTGTGAAATAGAATACTATTACTACTTGTGACTCGTCAGGCGCACCCTTTTGAATTTCAGAGACTTTTCAATCGTGTTAAAACAGCCTCTTTGAGCAGTCAGAACGTTTATTAGACGATAGGAAACGCAAAGTATTAGCACGTGTAAACAGTAGAACATATGAGTAAGAGATATTTACCCTCTGTAGCACACATTTTGCTATTGCACACATTTTCCGACACTTGTAAAAATTTCACGGATTTTCGACACTTGTAAAAATTTCACGGATTTTCGACACTTGTAAAAATTTCACGGATTTTCGATACTTGTAAAAATTTCGAGCATTTTCAACACTTGTAAAAATTTCACGGATTTTCGACACTTGTAAAAATTTCGAGCAATTTCATCACTTGTAAAAATTTCACATTTTCCGACACTTGTAAAAATTTCACGGATTTTCGACACTTGTAAAAATTTCACGGATTTTCGACACTTGTAAAAATTTCACGGATTTTCGATACTTGTAAAAATTTCGAGCAATTTCATCACTTGTAAAAATTTGTATTGAAGATGAATATCACAGAGGTTTTGTTATTGGGATCATGAGATTACTTGCTGTACATAGTTATTTGGTTACCAGAGCTTTTAAAAATTCCTTGAGCGCGGTAAGTGTTAACTATGGAACAGGACACACTGACACAGATGGTTTGATCATGACCTGTCTAGAACCATTAGGGTCGGTTCATTCAAGCATGCATTTAAGAGACCGCTCTGACTTAAATAAAGTGCTTTAAATAAAAAGAGATAGATGCAAAATATACTGGAATTTTACCATTGGTCGACCACTAGGCGAGGTAGCCGTCCATTGGTTGTAAGTCATGTGACTATTGTTGGTGATCAGGGTCAACTGCATTATCAAGTACATTAATTGTTAGTATTGTAGGTAAATTCCATTACTTGCTAGTATTCAAGATAGAGACAAGCATTAAGTCAAGCTACGAGAGCCGTCCAGTGGACTATTGAGTCCTTAATGTACTTGACAATGCAGCGGCTTGCCTGCATCGCTCAAGGGACAAACAACATGCAATGACATTTGTTTTCATGGTAACGGTCTGACTATATCAAGCCGGAGAACGCTGCGGGAAATCAGATTGAATCAGTTCGTTTCGCAGAAGTTTGTAATCAATCAGTTCTTGATTGATAAATCTACTCAACTCGTTCCTCCACAGGTTCTATTTTATCTTAAAAAGATGCACAGTTCGTTCTTTAGTCTTGTGATACATAGTTCGCTCTTCAGTTTGCTAATTTGATTCTAATTCAAGTTGCATGCTAACTTATCATAAATAGCAGGGGCTCGTATTATACAATAATATTTAAACGTAAATTCTAGCTTAACAGAACAACAACAGATCGTTATTCTAGATGTTCTTATTTTTCTCTATTTAAAATTAACAAATTTCAGTTGTGCTACAGTGACACGGACAGTTTTCTATACCACATACAAGAAGGCGATTTGACTGAAAAATTTTCGAGAATATCCTCAACTTTCATGGACTTCTCAAACTACCCTGTGAATCATTGTCTCTATTCCATTCAGAATAAACTCACCCCGGGCAGGTATTATCAGTCACTAAATCAAAATAAAAATCAATGTATGATAAATTAGGGATGAAGGCAATCGAATTTAACACTTTCACATTTTCAGATTCAAGGACGAAATGGCAGGTGGCGAAATCCATCAGTTTGCCGGGTGTAGAGCCAAATGCTACTCTATAGTTACAGATGAAGAACAGAAAATGGGAGCCGCGGGAGTGAAGAGAAATATGTAAAAGAGACTGAAGCATGTCGATTTTGTAACATGAGTCCATGTACTTGAAATAAAAATAATACATTTATAAAGTATATTTAATAAAGATATAAAAATAAAGAATCTGAAAGATATTCGAAAGCTCTGCTAAATCACTGGTAGTCTGACTATCACGCTGTGCAGTATGAGTCGAATTATATTTTAATAAAGATATAAAAATAAAGAATCTGAAAGATATTCGAAAGCTCTGCTAAATCACTGGTAGTCTGACTATCACGCTGTGCAGTATGAGTCGAATTATATTTAATAAAGATATAAAAATAAAGAATCTGAAAGATATTCGAAAGCTCTGCTAAATCACTGGTAGCTTGCCTATCACGCTGTGTGGTATGAGTCGAATTATATTTAATACAGATATAAAAATAAGAATCTGAAAGTTATGAGAAAGCTCTGCTAAATCACTGATAGCTTGACTATCACGCTGTGCGGTATGAATCGAATTATATTTAATACAGATATAAAAATAAGAATCTGAAAGTTATGAGAAAGCTCTGCTAAATCACTGGTAGCTTGCCTATCACGCTGTGCGGTATGAGTCGAATTATATTTTAATAAAGATATAAAAATAAGAATCTGAAAGATATTCGAAAGCTCTGCTAAATCACTGGTAGTCTGACTATCACGCTGTGCAGTATGAGTCGAATTATATTTTAATAAAGATATAAAAATAAAGAATCTGAAAGATATTCGAAAGCTCTGCTAAATCACTGGTAGTCTGACTATCACGCTGTGCAGTATGAGTCGAATTATATTTTAATAAAGATATAAAAATAAAGAATCTGAAAGATATTCGAAAGCTCTGCTAAATCACTGGTAGCTTGCCTATCACGCTGTGCGGTATGAGTCGAATTATATTTAATAAAGATATAAAAATAAGAATCTGAAAGTTATGAGAAAGCTCTGCTAAATCACTGATAGTTTGACTATCACGCTGTGCAGTATGAGTCGAATTATATTTTAATAAAGATATAAAAATAAGAATCTGAAAGATATTCGAAAGCTCTGCTAAATCACTGGTAGTCTGACTATCACGCTGTGCGGTATGAGTCGAATTATATTTAATACAGATATAAAATAAGAATCTGAAAGTTATGAGAAAGCTCTGCTAAATCACTGGTAGCTTGTCTATCACGCTGTGCGGTATGAGTCGAATTATATTTTAATAAAGATATAAAAATAAAGAATCTGAAAGATATTCGAAAGCTCTGCTAAATCACTGGTAGTCTGACTATCACGCTGTGCAGTATGAGTCGAATTATATTTAATACAGATATAAAAATAAGAATCTGAAAGTTATGAGAAAGCTCTGCTAAATCACTGGTAGCTTGCCTATCACGCTGTGCAGTATGAGTCGAATTATATTTAATAAAGATATAAAAATAAGAATCTGAAAGTTATGAGAAAGCTCTGCTAAATCACTGATAGTTTGACTATCACACTGTGCAATATGAGTCGAATTATATTTTAATAAAGATATAAAAATAAAGAATCTGAAAGATATTCGAAAGCTCTGCTAAATCACTGGTAGTCTGACTATCACGCTGTGCAGTATGAGTCGAATTATATTTTAATAAAGATATAAAAATAAAGAATCTGAAAGATATTCGAAAGCTCTGCTAAATCACTGGTAGTCTGACTATCACGCTGTGCAGTATGAGTTGAATTATATTTTAATAAAGATATAAAAATAAAGAATCTGAAAGATATTCGAAAGCTCTGCTAAAACACTGGTAGCCTGACTATCACGCTGTGCAGTATGAGTTGAATTATATTTTAATAAAGATATGAAAAATAAGAATCTGAAAGATATTCGAAAGCTCTGCTAAATCACTGGTAGCCTGACTATCACACTGTGCAGCATGAGTCAAATTATATTTAATACAGAATGATACGAAGCTATGAAGAGCAAACAGTCAATCATCATCTTATTGCAATTTACAAGCAGACGGTCCCATCCGCTCTATAGAGTTTGTGTTTCCAATGCCCCCAATGGATGTGGACCGGATTGTAGTTTAAGGCTACAAATCTGACTATCTCATGATACGGCTGGGCATTGTTTGTGTGAGATAATGGTAAGATCGCTTGTAAGCAAAGGGTTCCAGCAAGGCGGGGATTCCCGCTAAATATAACAAAATAAGAGAGTATTCTCTCTAATTCCAAAAATTGAAAAATGACTGTTTGCAATTCATACTGCTTCAATGTTATTATCATCACTGATAATTATAATAATGAAACCACTAGTACTGAAAGATAAAAGGATTAAATTAGGTGGGAATTCCCACTATATTTAATGTAATAGGAGAGCACTCTCTTCGTTTACTTTTTTTCTCTAGTTATACTACTGTTTGAATTTACTTGTTATTCTATTTTAATTTTAAATATTATCTTATTACACATTTTGCTACTATCTTTTCTTGCTATCTATTTTTAAAATGGTTAACCATACTTTTTTCTTTTTTTATTTTTGGGGAAAATTTGCCTTCCTCAGCTGGTCGTTACTTTATTTTTCTAATATTCTTATCATTTTAAAACTTTGATCAGCTGCAGGGGGTGAATTTGCGTCAAGGTTCTGTAATATGAACCAGTTTTCACAGAAAAAAGACCGCCCGTAGGTGGTGAATAGCCACATCCTTCACGAGGTGACCCCGTTCTCTGCATTTTATTTTACTCTACTTTTTGACTTATATTTTTATTTTCCAATGCAGAGGTTACTAAATACGGCGGATCGGTTATAAAATACTTAGTACTATATAAAGGCTTAAAAACAGACCTCTTATCACAAAACTATTAGCATGAGCGAACTGACTTTTAATGTAACACGAGCCTTGAATGACTCTGTCATTGAATTTAAGGTTAGAGCCCCTGAAACACAGTTCAACGGAACCCCCGAAGAAGGGTTGGAGGTGCTCTTGGGGGGTGTTGACACGATAATAGAGCACTCCATACAACGACGGAACTGTTTCAAGTTCCATGTCACTTTGGACGGAGTATTTCAGGTATTTGATTTGCTACTAACAATCTGTTAAAATAGTGATAAGGAAACTTTCAAATCAAAAAGAAGTGGTTTAACAAGAAAAAATATAGATAAATAGAAGTTAATATATTTCATTTACAGAAACATATAAACGGTGAAGAGCAGACATTTGGTTTCAAGACACGAACAACTGTGTGCCTGAGATCATCAAATAAGGATGAGATGATCAATGAAGTTCGAAATAAACTCTTGAACTCATACGAGTCTTTTCAAGGAATGGGTTGGTAAAGTTTTCTAATTTTTATTTCATTAACCTCCAACTACCTTGACCCTAATTAAACCAAGTTGAGTTACGTTAAAATTGCAGATACAAAGATTACTACAATTAATCTCAACAGGTAGCGGTTGGATATGGAGACGATGGCCAATGGTTACAGTGCTGGTCATAAAGTACAACCCTGTATCAGGATGATTGATTGAGTGATTGATTAAAGGTCTATATAGGGATCACTATAATGTTGAAAATTGTTGTTTTATATCTTACTAATTTCAATTAACTTTAAGAACTTTCAATAGTTTAAAACCACAAATCAATAACAAGAGTGATTGAAATTTAAAATGGAGATAGAAGACATATTGCGTTTTAGTTTGAATTATGACGTGATTTAAGAATGTAATTAACCATGTTATATATAACACTCTATATAACATTATATAAACTCTCTTAAATTCTAGAATGTCGACTTACTTGCCAACTCCCAAACTGTTGAAAAAGAGAAGATGTCTGTTGAACATACGGAATAAAGATAACCAATCATTCCTTTATTGTATTGTGGCTGCTTTGAAAAGACCTGATAGAAACCCAACACGACCCGGATTCTATAAGCGTTATGTCAAGAAACTGATCACGACAGGTATATATCAATTATTAACAGTTATAACATATGCAACCATCACATGACCGTAATTATTTAGTGAATATCTAGAGCTTAGTGAAGAATAGAAAATAATACTTGTACCCACAGGAATCAACGCACCAAAACGGTTGGAGGACATCCCCCTGTTTGAGAAACAAACCTGTAAGTCCCTTTATCCATATAATAAAGCAACTTTCCTAATTACACATTCATAATATTTTAAATTTATCTTTATTCTTATATCAACTACGATTTTCAGGTATATCCGTCAATGTTTTTGGTTACAGTGAGAGTGAGCCAAGAACACACATTTTCCCTATTTACACGACGAACTTCAAGTTTAAGAGGATAGTACATCTGATCAGTTTGACAGAAAGAAATAAAACACATTATGTTCTGATCAAATCCCTATCAACATTTTTGAGATTGGTCACGAAATACGAGAAAAGAATGTTGACATGTGAAAGATGTTTTAGAAGGTTCACATCCAAACTTTTTTTTGAAAAGCATGCAACGTTCTGTGAGACAGGAGAACCCTCTGTCTTCATGCCTGAAGACCCTGTATTGAAATTCAAAAACTTTCAATACAAATTTCCCTGTCCTGTGGTCATGTATGCCGATTTTGAGGCCTATCAGATCAGCATGAACGAGAGCACCGGTTCAAAAAGCTCAAACATCGCTGAACAGAAACCAACAGGGTTCGCATACATGATTGTGTCACCTCATGATGTTCTTTGTAGACCATTGAAGTTATATAGAGGTGAAGACGCAGCCGCAAAGTTTGTAGACTGTTTGATAAATGAGTGTTACGACATAGAGGATATACTCAACGAGGTGAAACCGATGGAGTTCACAGACGATAACATGGTGCAATTTCAAACAGCAACCAACTGCTCAATCTGTAAACAAAGCTTAATTTGGAGCGATTTGAACAATCCTGTTGTTCGCGATCACTGTCATATTTCAGGTTGATAAGTTAACTTATACTATTGATTAATACAAACGTTTACAATTGAAATATAAATCTAAAATTGATTATCACTAATGTAACATCTTATTCAGGTTCATTTCGTGGTGCCGCTCATTCTCAATGTAATCTGAAGGCTTGTCAACAAAAGAGGTTGTTTGTCTACTTTCACAATGGGAAGGGTTACGAC